AAAGGGGCAATGCATTCCACAACTTAGGAGCCCCCACAGAGAATGCTCTGTCCCCCCTAAGTCTCCTCCTAGCCCTCGGTGTCTCCAGGAGCAGCTGATCAGCTGATCTGAGGCACCGAGAGGGGCTATAGGGATGCAGCAATTCTGTAAGATAAAGGGGGGCCAGACCATTTAAAGACTTAAAAACAAATTAAAAAATCTTAAAATGAATTCTAAAACACACCGGCAGCCAACCTAGAGAAGCCAAAATGGGTGTGATATGGTCCCTTTTGCGCCCTCTAACCAGTAGACGAGCAGCAGCATTTTGGACTTTCTGAAGGCTGGCAAGGGACGTCTGACTGAGCCCAAAATATAGGGCATTACAGTAAACAATAATCCAGACGAGATGTAATCAATGCATATATTACTGACTCAAAATGCTGCCGCAAAAGAAAAGGCTTTACTTTTGCCAGCTGCCGGAGATGATAAAAACTGGCCCGTACAACCGCATTCACCTGATGTTCCATTCTAAAATCAGAGTCTATTTTAACACCCAGGTTTGTAATGGTCGACTGCACGTACTGTTCTAAGCAACCCAAATCAACTGGGGGAAAATCACCAGAGTTAATTTTAAATGCAGTGCTTCATAGTGGACACATGATAAGAGGGAGCCAGGATAACTCAAAGGAAAGAGAATATGATGGGGACTTGTGTAGGATGCCAGGGCCATTTTGTGGTGACAAGCTGATGAATTAACAGCCCTGACTACTTTATAATCATAATAAGAGCAGTGACACTGTCAAGCCATACCACCATGTCAATCAACTCATGTTTCAATATTTGGTTAACTTTAAAAATTTTTTTATTTAATTACCTATTTGTCAACAGAATCAAAGGTCAACATTTAGAAAAGAATATTTGAAAAATGAATAAGACTGCATGCCAGGACATATTGTATCTGTTTTCACAGTGCTGCCAAATAGTAGGCAAGATTTATTTTGACCTGTGTATCAATGATCCCTATCCAGTAGTATGGGAATATGTGGGAGGAGTGTGGAATACTTAAGATGACTCGAAATATTAGAAATTAATTAAATACAATTTTAAAAATGTATTGTAGTGTATTGTTTACTGCTAGATACTTGCATCATTAATATTAGCTGCAGTGTAACAGTACCAAGAAATGGACTGTTTGCTCTCCATTGAAATTACAGCAGTAGGAATCATGTTCTCTCTGTTGCATTTGCAGTTGGACTGTTTCCATGATATTCAACAACATCAAACTGTTAAAATATTCTGTTGTTGTGTTGTCATGTTAACATGTTATCTGTCTGCATGGCTCATTTTGTCACTGACTGCTTTCCATGGCCACAGGGTAACTCAGGGTTGGGCTTTAGTATCGCCGGAGGGGCCGATAATCCACACATTGGTGATGACCCTGGCATCTTCATTACCAAGATAATCCCTGGAGGTGCTGCGGCAGAGGATGGACGTCTGAGGTAAGTCACTTACGTTAGTAATGGTCAGTATGTCAGGTCTCTTCCTGAACCAAAGTAGATTAATAATACATTTGGTTACCAAAAGCAAGATGGCGCCACTGTGTTTGGCCGGCCGTCTGCTCCTCCTGACTGTTTGTTATTTTGGTATTTCTAAGATTCCTTCTGTTTCCCCTGTTTTGGTATATGATCGCCTGTCCCTCCTAGAAATAGGTAGGTCAACACTGAGTCGCCACAATATCTTTGAGAGTTATCAATCTGAGCGACTCCCACCCCCTTTGGCGTCCATACCTTTTTTCCTCCGACGTTCTGAGGGACCATGCCTGGGCAGGCCTTGTCGAAGGCGACGTGGCAAAAGAGCTGGTCTTCACGTCAGGCTGAAATCCATCCTAAAGGCACCGATGCTCATGGATCACCTCTGGGAGCACGGCCTCTGCGGTCCAGGCTGCACTGTGGCCCAGAGCTATTTCTTTCTTTGACCAGTTGGCCCAGATCCTGAGTCCCCTCGCCCCCACTGCCGACTGGTGAGGCAATGGGATCGACGGTGTTTCCAGGCCTACCTGCGCTCAGTAACTCGGGCCGACCCTTTTATTACTGAGACCTGACTGAAACAAGAGGAAAATGGCCTCTTTTCTGAACTTTTGCCGGCTGAGTATTTATTTTTTAGTAACCCACGTCTCACGAGGAGAGGAAGTGGCCTGGCGTCGATTTTCAAGCCGGCGTTAAAATGTCACCTTCTCCCCACTATAACATATGCCAGTTTTGAATTGCAGCTCTTTGTTTTAACTCGGCATTGTCTGATTTTATGTGTGGTTATTTACCACCTGCCTAAATTGAAGGATTTTATTAATGAGTTTGGGGAATTTTTGGCAACTTTCTTCCTCAGTTTGACTGTTTCCTGATCTGTGGAGATTTTAATATTCATGTGAATTGCCCGTCTGACCATCTTACGTGTGAATTTGATGCACTGCTGGAATCTTTTGATTTAATTCAGTCAGTGCACTGCCCCACTTATCAACATGGCGCTACCCTAGACCTCGTTATTTCCCAAGGTTTGACTTTGTCCATCACAAATGTGTCAGACTTGGCCATCTCTGACCGCTATTATTTGTTATTTTTATTAATAATTATTATTTGTTTTGAAATGTAAGCACCGGCTAGTGTAACCAGATCGTCGGCCACTTGTCAACGCTATCTATAGGATTATTCCCCCCTCAACGGCGGCGGACTTTACAGAGGCTTTTGTAGCCTCCGATGCTTTATCGGTCCAGAGCCCAAGACTTCTCTTTATCCTCTGAAGCTCTCCTCTCTTCCCTGGATGCTACCTGTGTTCGGATTATGGAGGCTGTTGCTCCCATTAGAAGGAAGAGAGTAAGATACATCTCAGTTCCTTGGCCGAACGAAACCGTGTGTGCCCTGCGGAGACAATGCATGCGGGCGGAGTGGAAATAGAAAAAGGATGGCCTACACATCTCATTGGGCATTTTGAGAGACAGCCTATGGTTATACCAGGGGGCTGTAAGAGACGCGAAATTTCAATATTTATCCAACATTATTTTGAAAAGCGGCCAGCATCCAAGAATTCTCTTCAAAACCATTGACTCAGTTATCACTTCTGTTGGCGCCCCTCCCATTGAGGGATTGGTGTCTTTATGCAATGATTTTCAGAGACACTCCATTGATAAAGTCAGGACCATTAGACAAAATAGTCTTATAAATTGCTGCCTGTGGAGGGGTGAGATCCCCGCTGCTCTTAAGCATGCGGCAGTAAGACCACTCCTCAAAAAATCGAATCTCGACCCCTTCCTGGTTTCTAATTTTCGTCCCATTTCTCGGTTGCCTTTTGCATCTAAGGTAATGAAAAAAGTTGTCCTTACTCAGTTGCAGTCTCACATAGCTTGCCTTGGTGTGGCCGACAAATTTCAATCAGGCTTTAAAGCCCGCCACAGCACGGAGTCCGCTCTGGTGAGGGTCCACAACGATATCACCATGGCCCTGGATGCAAAACGGTCTGTTATGTTAGTCCTCCTAGACTTATCTGCAGCTTTTGACACCGTCGACCACGCGATTCTACTGTCTAAACTTGAACTTCTTATTGGCCTGAGAGGGTCAGTCCTAAATTGGTTTATTTCTTTTTGGATGAATACAACGTTTTCTGTTGTCATTGATGGTTTTGCTTCTGACACAGCTTCTCTTACTTCAGGTGTCCCACAAGGCTCGACCCTGGCGCCGCTACTATTCTCCTTATATATGTTGCCATTGGCATCTATTATAGCAAATCACAATGTCTATTTTCATTTCTATGCTGATGACATTCAGATCTATATACCGTTAATACAATCTAATCAAAATCCACTTGCCCCTCTAGAAGACTGCATTCGAGACATTAAGAAATGGCTAGCTCAGAATTTCTTACATTTGAACGATAGTCAAACTGAATGACAGCGGCTTCAACTTTGACAAACAGGTCAGAGCCGTTGTCAAAACCAGCTTTTTTCATTTAAGGCTGCTAGCTAAGGTCAAGCCATTTTTATCGCGTTTGAATCTAGAAAATGCTATTCATGCTATTATTATGTCACGCCTGGACTATTGTAATGCTTTGTATGCTGGTTTGTTGCAATTCCTGCTCCAAAAGCTGCAACTAGTCCAAAGTGCTGCAGCCCGGCTGCTGTCCAACACCCCCAAATATGCCCACATTACCCCGGTCCTTCGCTCGTTACACTGGGTCCCAGTGCAGTGGAGAGTGCAGTTTAAAATTTTGTTGTTTGTCTTTAAGGCAATTCACAGACTTGCTCTGCAGTATCTCTCAGATTTGCTGACTGTTTATACCCTGCATAGAGCACTGCGATCCTCAGGGCACTTGGCCCTGGTGGTCCCACAGTCTCGTTATAAGAAGTGGGGTGACCAATCTTTCGCTGTCCAAGGTGCCAGACTGTGGAATTCTTTGCCGCAGGAGCTCTGGAATAAAACCGAATTATTGATTTTTAAGTCAGTTTTAAAAACTCACCTTTTTACCTGATGCACCTGATGTTTAAATGCTTTTTATTTCCTCATAGAGACAATGTTGTGTGATTTTATTTTATTTTGTATAGTTTGTTTTAGATGTTCTTATGTTAGTAATTTTTACTGTACAGCACTTTGTGCTCAGACGAGTTGTAAAGTGCTTTATAAATAAAGGTTATTATTATTACTTACTTACATTTCCTCATACAGGTTTTAATAAAAGATAACTAGGAAAGATTTCAGACCTGACAGGAAAAAACATGTTTGAGAAACTTGCATGTCTCAGAGACATCTTAAAGAGCAGTGCCTGGAATTCAAAATTATTTCATCAATTTCTGTATATGTTTAGAGTGTTTCCTTGCTTTTGTGCTGCCCACTGGATGAATCCCATTTGTCAGACCTTCTACATGGTGGTCCTTTGTTTGAATGGGTCCCTGGGGAGTTGGTAATTATAGTCATATAGTAGGTACTTGTATAAAATGTGCTGTATGACTTAACAAAAAATGGATTATAGTAAAATTGTTTCAAATACTGTCATTTTCATATATTCATTGTCCTATAGCACCATCTTCTGTCTGCTTTTTAAAGCTACAGTGAGGGTTAACGCTTCTCCCAAAAACCTGTTGCATTCACAAATTCTTTGGTATTCTCATGTCTATCTTTTATTTGCATTGGAGCAACACAAAAAACCTAAATCTGATCCATTACATGCAGTACTCCAGAAATGGCCTGGACACAATTACTGACACCCTCAACTTAATGTTTGGTAGCACACCTTTTGGACAAAATTGAAATCAGTCCCTTCCTGTAACCATCAGTGAGTTTCTTCCTTCTCTCTACTGGAATTTTGGACCACTCTTCTTTTGCCATCTGCTCCAGGTCTTTCAGATTTGAAGGCTTCCTTCTCCCAGCTACTGTTCTGAGATCTCTCCACAGGTGATCTATGGGATTTAGACCTGGACTCGTTGCTGGCCACTTCAGAACTCTCCAGCACATTGTCTGAAACCATTTCTGGTGCTTTGTGAAGTCTGCTTTGGGTCATTGTCCTGCTGTAAGACCCATGACCTCTGACAGAGACCCAACTTTCTGACACTGGGCCCCAGAGTTTGTCTTCAGATACCATAATGCCACACACACAGTCAGGACATCCAGGGCCTGAAGCAGCAGAGCATGTTATGGTTAGCCCCCCTCGCCAGGAGGGTGAGGGAGAACTAGGGGTAGGACTCAAGATAGCCGACCCAGGTGCTAGTACGAAAAAAGGTTTAATAGGGAAAAATAAGACAACGACAACGTAACAACATAACAATGTCCATAATACATACAAGCGAAGGGGGAGTGATGACAACGGAAACCAGGACGAACAGGTACACTTACAAACTAACGGCAGGAATCAGGAGAGCAGGAGGATGAGGGCAGACAAGTGAAGGACAGAAAAGGTAGCAAAAAGAAACCCGAAAAATCAACAGCACGGGGACCATCAGCGTTGAGATCTCGGTACCTCCTGCGAAAAGCACAAACGGGAATAGTTCAAGCCAGAACGCACAGTGACTGTCAGCGTAGCCTTCTAGTCCACGTTTCAAGTGCAGTTTAGACATAAACCTACTTGGTGTGAGTGAGTCCGTTAGTCATGATAACGATAGCAGCAACAACCGGTTAACAATAACATTACCATTAACAATGACAATGATCCAGCGACGGCGGAATGTCCGCCAGAGGTTTAAATAAGGAGAACTTAATCATCGGGATGCACCCCAGCTGTGTGCGTTGACAAACCAGTTACTAATTACTGGAATGCAACACAGCTGAGGTGCAGAGCCCACAAAACGGAGGAGAGGCAGCGGCCGCCGAGCGGCCCTGACAGAGCAACCCCAAAACCTCAGTGAACCTCCACTGTGCTTGACTGTAGGGACCGTGTTCTTTTCTTTGAAGGCCTCATTTCATTTTCTGAAAACAGTAGAATGATGTGCTCAACGCTTAGTCTCAGCTGTCCACAGGACATTCTCCCAGAAGGATTATGGCTTCCTCAGGTAAGTTTTGGCTTTATGTGTCTGTGTCAGCAGTGGGATCCCCTGGGTCTCCTACTATAGTGTCCCTTGTCATTCAGATGGTGATTGGTAGTGTGAGCTGACATTCAGTAGTACAGCTTGAATTTTTTCAAACAACAAAAAGCTCTACTTTAGTCTCATCTGTCGACAGGACATTCTCCCAGAAGGATTATGGCTTCCTCAGGTAAGTTTTGGCTTTATGTGTCTGTGTCAGCAGTGGGATCCCCTGGGTCTCCTACTATAGTGTCCCTTGTCATTCAGATGGTGATTGGTAGTGTGAGCTGACATTA